GGGTGATTTCTGTTCCAGAATTTTCTCACCGTATTCTTACCGATAGGGACAAGTTCATTGTTCTAGCTTCTGATGGGGTATGTATCCCTCGTGAAATATTTGAATATTTTGCTAATTTAGTTATCAATTTGTTGAAGTAGTTGAATCCAAAATGAAATTAAGCATGCCATGTTGCCCATTATGATTTTGACAACCTTTGTGATCTTGGATTTTTTGATTTGTTTTGGACGGGGTCACATGTAATGATCTGGAGAAAAGGGGTATCTATGAAAATTATTATGAAGTTGATAATTCAATTTTCTTTTTCATTTACTAATACAAGACTAAATAGAAAGATCATGCAGCACGTATGATCTAGCCTATTGAACTTCCATCATCAGCTAAGGATTCAAAGTTTAAGTTCTCAGCATGTCTATACCAATGTAGTAAGGTATTCAGTTGCCATTCTCATAAATATTAATGGTGCGAAGTGGCTTCATTTCTAAGTATGCTATGAAGGTATTAGGTTGCTGTTATATTAAGTTGGCTGGTCAAAACCTTTGTCATTTTGGCGGAAGGAAGAAGTGTTTTGTTTTTTATGCAAATCTAGTGCATTGGACATGTGTTCACACCTGGTCTTTGAAGGGAAGGAGTTAGATTTTCTCAAATTAAATGTGCCTGGAATCCTCATAGGTAAGTGGTAACAGTCACTTCAGGACTTTGAAAAGTATTCGCTCATTCTGGTTTGAGGACAGAGTGAGGATAATGCCGGTCGCTAGAGCCTGGTACATTCCTGCACGAGGTAGAAATCCAATAGGCAGAGGAAATCTGTCATTAGTTTTAGTACCTGACTTGCCAAGACTCCTTATGCAGTGAACTTAGATTAACTGCTGATGTGTTAGTAGATATCTGACACATGAAGAATTTAGCCTAGATAAAGACAATTTTTGTTGCTTGTTTGTTGTCGGAGGAAAGGGGCCTTGCACATGCATCATGTACTTAGAATCTTTAAACAAATCTTTTGCAGTTCTGGTTTCTAAATATAGAAAGTATTCTATTCTACTTGCCCTCCTCCTGGATATTTTACCCTTCCTTAAGTTACCTTAAGTTAAGTAAAGGTCAGCTTGTTGAATTTCTTTTACGGTCTTCGATGAATTTCTGTGAGCTTTCTTCCCTTTTCCACAAAACGGCTGATTATATTTCTATTTCACTACTGGAACTGCATATCCTGAAATATCTGGGCAATTATCTTTTTTGTTTATGATTTTTTTTCTTATGCGGAGTAATAAGAACTTCTCTAAATATTTGCACTAAGCCAGTGGATCAGGCGTAATTACAGAAAGTGCAAATTCCCTGTTGTATCTAGTATTGTATAACTTTTTTGGTCATGAATTTCCCTACCTGAAGTTATTTTGATCTTTATTCTTTTAATTGCTAATGCCATGATCATCCTAATTTCTTTATGGTGTCAATGCTGAGTTTTGATGGCAGTTGGTTTCAAAGACGGATTTTTTATTGGATAACCTGTTAGACATTGTAATCGATAGGAATTTTGAAACGGCTTTCCTGATTCTGATAACTGGATGAAATGAGCTATACCACTTGTATCAAAAGTAAAATGGAATATGGTTGGATAACGTCCTCGGTGATTTCACTTAGCATTTATAAGAATTATTCAAAAAAATATTTGTAAGAATTTATTAAGCATCATTTTATTTTTTCATTCGAAGCTCCCACTTAGACGAGTAGACCACTTTAAAGCCTTTCCCATGCTGGAAGAGATGTGGTTTGCTTACGCCTTGGTCATTAATTACTTCATGCTGTTATAAAATGCTACTCTGTTTACCCTTCAATTCTTGTCCAACCGTGGGCTAGTATCTCGACTCCATGTATAGTTGAATTCTCTTTCAATGAAGTATGAACAATGAACATAGTGAGTAATTATTTTCATATCCAAAAAACTAGGCTAATTAAATGTCCGGTCCATGCTAGGGAGCGGTGAACCAATTATTACTAGCAAGCTAGCTGTAAGAAAAATGCATCCCAGTAGTGTATACTAAAGAATACAGAGGCATATATTAGCATCAGTTACTGTTTTTGAATTGATGATATATATTGTGTTTCAGGTTTGGGACGTGTTGAGCAACGAGGAAGTGGTTGAGATAGTGTCGTCAGCTCCTACACGAGCATCAGCTGCCCGAATCCTGGTTGACTCAGCTGCACGTGAATGGAAAACTAAATATCCAACATCAAAGATGGATGATTGTGCAGTTGTTTGCTTATTCTTAGATGGGAAAATGGACTCTGAATCCGATAACGAGGATCAATGTTTCTCTTCTGCTACCCTTCAGAGCAACCACTCTGGTAACGCTGTGGAATCAGACGATGGACAGAATTCCGAGCCATCTCTGCAGAGGAACTTCACGGTCAGATCTGCTGAAGAAAACAACACCTACAAACGAATCGTTGCAGAAGTAGCAGCAAATCAAGAAGCTATGTCAACTGAAGAACAGAACTGGTTAGGATTAGAAGGTGTCACTAGGGTAAACTCCCTAGTTCAGCTTCCAAGATTTTCTGAAGAAAGGCCAAGACCTTAAGTTATATATTTGTTGTTATTTAGATCCCTTTCTTAAAGTCTTATGGATATATATAATTTTGCTGCAGCATATCCAAGTATTGTTTATGACATATTTGGGGTTTGGTTTGTTCACTGGGTTAAACTGACATCCATCTAACTGTAAAGTCTTAAATCTTCTTTAAGATACACTAGTTGTTTGTGTATTCTTTTAGCTTTTATGTGTGCCACAAAATTTAGCCCCTCATAAATTATTTACTTTCTTTCATAAGAAACAACAGGTTTACCACCAAATGATATGGTGGAGTGTATGAAGTTGTTTCTCCGTTAATCAGAGGTCTTGATTTAAGCCTTAAGTATAAAAAAAAAACTTGGTAGGCCACATATTCCCTGTAATCATTTCAATTTTCACTAACATCCTTTACCTCGTGACTAGGTAGGTGTTAACCCTTATACATGGTCTTTCAACTTCCCGAAGACCTATGCCCTTACACAATCCCTATGACTTCCTCTGTGGGGAGGCACAAACACATGTTCCATCGAAGTTATAAGGCTATTTTGCTGAGTTCCTTCGAGAGAGTTGCCTTACGTCCCTAAGTATTCTCTCTAGAGTTCGAAAGAGCCTTGCATGTTGTGGGGTTTACAACTTGTGGAACATTTTCATTTCTTTGACATGATGAATGCAACGTGCTAGTGATAGTATAGGGTATCCTTTTTTAGGGGGGAAACAAAGTGACTTTAATCAAGAAAAAATTAAAAGAAATGTTACTTTAATCTTATCTTTAAATTGACAAATCAGTCCCAACATAATTATTTTTCCCAACATCATTATCAAATACCTTTATCTTTAAACGTGTCATGTACTCATTCATCCATATGATTAGACAGCATTGCTCAATAATTCTCAACAAATAACTAGACACCCATAAATTATCTTCTACCTGCGATCACATCCTCTTCGATAAAAAAATATTCTTTCGTTCACGATCAATGTCTTTTTCTTTAAACTCATCTCCTAAAATATATTTCCCATCATTCTCAACTTCTTTACTGTTACATTAATATTTAAGTTATCGTGTAAATCGACATCTACTCATTGTCCGATTTCATCCCTAAAGATCTATACAACTCCTCCATAATATGTTCATATCTATTTTCTTGATTCATATTTAGGTCACTTAATTATGGTCATTTAGCAATACTCTTGATATTAATCACAATAGGCCCCATTTGTAATTAATTTTCCTCTTAGGTGATGTTGGCCAATAACACGTCACAAATCACAATACAACTAATAATATGTTCAAGAAAAATACCAAAAAGTGTTAGATATTAAATCCTTACACAAAAGAAGCAATTTTCTGTTGGTTCAATTTTCTTTTTGGGTGTAGAAATTAGGTGTTAGATTTTAAAGAAACTTGTCCTTGCAAAAGTAGATATTTTGTGATAATGGACCGAAAATTGGGTGAAGATTTTAGAGAAATATACATATATAATTGATCGTCAAAATAATATTTCTTCTATCCTACTTTATATGACTTGCTTAATTTTTTTAGTCAGTCTCCAAAAAATTGATAATTTTTTATATGTAGTAACAATTTAACTTTAAAATGCTCATTTTATCATTAATAAAATAATTTATATGTCACACAAACATCTCTGACTTATTTTAGACCTTAAGTTTCAATTTTTTTCTTCTTAAACTCTATATCAAGTCAAACTAAACCATATAAATTGAAATAGAGAGAGCAGTTAGTAAATATTTATACAAACAATATAAATTGAAATGAGATAGAAAAATAATATTTTTTTTTTATACAAAATAGTATTTTTTTTCTTATATATTTAACTAGCGAATGTAGTTGTTTTTAGCGACCGCCCGAATGTATAACTTGCCCAAAATTTTCTCTAAATTTCTTTTTGTAAAAATTAGGTAGGATGATCAACTTTTGAGCATGCTATGAATTTTTTGTCACCATTAAAAACATATAATGTAGGTTTGAACCTCATGAATCGTTCCTTATTTTTAAATCTCATAAATCCTCTTCTAGTTTTCACTTGTTAATCTTTTGAATTTTAGAAATGTTTATTGGAGTTGTTCCATATTTCTTGGGGGTATTTTAGTCCTTAATATTTTTCTTATTAAAAATATATGGCTAAATGTTAGTAATAGCTTTTAAAATATTTCGATACATTCCACCTATCTTTAATTTACTATCATATAATTCAAAAGTCCTCATTACTTTTTAAACCTCGATTCGTTCAAATCAAAATCATACAAACAAATTGAAACATCAGGACTATAATGCATGCACCACTTAAACACTTAAACAACAATCTCTGGCCTAGCTCATAATTCACCGCCAAAACACCACCAACTTTCTCACATACTTTCTCCTATATATAAACAAAACTTCTTCTCCATTTTACTCCATCAACTTCAACAATGGCCACCATTATTCATTCTATTTTCTCCTTCTTTTTCATCATCAACATTATTTTTCTCTCTTCCTCATATTATGCACTAGGAGGACGCGATATCCTGAAAATCAACGACAAAATTATACACCCCGATACGTTCATCCCATACGATGGCACGGTCCTAATTCCCGGTATTGGGAGGGTTGTTGTCCCACCTATTGGCACTCATGATAATCCATTTACATACAATCCTATCACCGGCTCTAATAATGGCAACGGTTTAGTTATTCCAATTCCTGGCTCTGGCACTGGCACTGGCACTGGCACTGGCATTGGCTCTTACATTCCTGGTGGTGACGATACACTTGTTCCCAACCCTGGAGTCGAAGTCCCTAGTGGTGGTACCATTCCTGTACCACCATAGGTATCGTCATTAATAAAAAAATAAAAAAGACAGTCTGATGCATGCATAAAGCATTTTGAGTTCACATCATTGAATTTCTTAATGAAATAAACATGGAATTGCATGTAGTTGAGTTAATTTAATTATGTATTATAGTGTTTGTTTTTGTAGTGTTGATGTGTGCGTGCATGTGCGGTTTTAATTTTCTAGTGTTTCTCTCCAATAAACTTCATTGTATTCGATGTGTTTTAATTTTGTGCAAATTGAATTAGTATTATACTTAATATTGTTGTGTTATTTATTTGGTTCAATCTAAAAAATAAGATGGGATCTATCGGCAATATGAATCTACATTGTATATGAATATTTATGTATTTAAGTTCAAGTTATGTTATCATCGTACGACAAAAATTATGCCTCTGACATAAACTAGAACTACACATATTCCTCATTTAATTTGGAATTTTACACTATGTAGTGGGCTAGTGGCCACCCAAAATAATGGTAGACAAATATATAGTATATAATTAATTTGTTATTTTCAGTTATTGCCCAACAAGTTATGATATATCATGTTTAATACCAGAAAATTTATATATCTACATTGTATTCATAACCATGTGATCATGTTCCCAACAATTGTACTACTGCTTTTTAATTAAGATAAAGTCAACAATCACATGCAGAAACTTAACTCCTTTGACTTTTAACCACCTATTCACACAAATAGATCAGATGTCTTTGTCTTTGTCTTTTTCAATGTCTAGCAAAATCTTGAATGTTCAATATTTAAGATATATAGTTACCTCATGTTACTTAAAAATAGATGGTCTAAAATAGTTACTTTAAAAAAATCAAGCAGTAACTAGTTGTTTGTTTTCACATGTATCCTTAGTTATAAATATGAAAAATATTAATGTGGCGCAAACTAGTTAATATTAGGCATAATACATAAATATGACCCTAAACTTGGCTTCAGTGGACAACTATGCCCTCTAACTTTGAGTATGCACAAGTAGGCACTTAAACTTGTATAAAATTGAATAAATAGACACACGTGTCCTACATGGCATAATACATGTAGGACGCCACGTAGGACACAAAATTTCCATATGCCATGTAGGACGGATGTGTCTATTTGTTCAATTTTATAAAGTTTAAGTGCGTACTTGTGCACATCCAAAGTTAAAGGTCATAGTTGCCGGTTGACGCAAAGTTAAGGGTCATGTTTATGTATTATGCCTTTTCTTAACAAGTGTGTAAAACAAAACATGACAATAAAATGAATCGAAGAGAGTAAATTTTAACTAAAAATGAAAAGCTTGCCTGGTTTGTGTTGTTCATTCCAACAATCCACAGGACATCTAAGTATATGATAAAGATTTGAACTCCATGAATTCTTATTTTGGCTAACTGATAACCTGGTGCACTAAACCTTTCGCTATGCGCAGGGGTCCGAGAAAGGGCCCGACCACAAGAGCCTATTGTATACCGTTTTACCTTGCATTTCTACCAAAGGTTATTTCCAAAACTTGAACCCATGACCTCCTGGTTACATGACTAACATATAACCATCCCACCAAATTTTTACAACAGAGGGACAGTGGCAGTAGCTAGATTGTAAAGAAGTAACAAAGTACACAATAGAATTACCCATGATTAATGCTGCATTTTGCAGGTGACCCTTAAAGATGTTGTGGTCCATAAGCTAGAAGGACATGCACCAAACACAACTCTTTAGTATTACAAGTACAGTATGTTAAATAACGCTGAGAAGTGACAACAACAATAATTATGCCTCAGTTGAAAAGAATGAAGATGATTTCAGATAGTAATAATTGTCAATTGAGCATCAGAACTTAAGTGTTGTATCGACATATAAATTGTGTGATTAAAAGAACTAAATGTTATATATATCAAGTACATTAAATAGGTAAGTCATGTGGCACAGAAGAATTTTGACATATATCGCGAGTACTGTGAAGACTTCATTCCCTCTAGATATCTCAGTCTAAGAAGAAAACAATCTCTAAACTGGAATAAAACCAGCAGTTGTGTCGCAAGAGCTTGGACTCTCTTGATCTGGATATAGCTTATAGTTAACCTGAAAATTACGACATGTTTAATGGTCAAAAGAACAGTTCACAATAAAATGGGATAATTGCAAGCTTCCATCCATGTGTTTTGGGGGTGGGGATTGCATATGCAATTTCTACATAGGTAAGTGATTTGACATAAATATCTTAATAGACAATACTCATGACCGCCCGCTAATTTTTCAATAGTAGCAATCGACTTTTATAAAGTCCCAATTTTTCTAAGTTGGCGGAGATAGCTTCACTCCTTCCCTAAGTGCATGTGTTCTGGGAAAAATGGAGATTCACAGAAAACTCAAGAAGCCGAACATCATTGCACTTGCCAAAATAGCAAGGCGAATATGCTAGCCATGCTTGCACATGAGAGCCTCAAATGGCAAAGCAATCCTCAAATGTCTGTTCTTTCATTTTCTATATCCATTGTAATGTTTCATTTTCAGGCTGTAGTTAAAAGATAAGTAAATTCTGCACATTTTAGAAGTTTAAGTGCGTACTTGTGCACATCCAAAGTTAAAGGTCATAGTTGCCGGTTGACGCAAAGTTAAGGGTCATGTTTATGTATTATGCCTTTTCTTAACAAGTGTGTAAAACAAAACATGACAATAAAATGAATCGAAGAGAGTAAATTTTAACTAAAAATGAAAAGCTTGCCTGGTTTGTGTTGTTCATTCCAACAATCCACAGGACATCTAAGTATATGATAAAGATTTGAACTCCATGAATTCTTATTTTGGCTAACTGATAACCTGGTGCACTAAACCTTTCGCTATGCGCAGGGGTCCGAGAAAGGGCCCGACCACAAGAGCCTATTGTATACCGTTTTACCTTGCATTTCTACCAAAGGTTATTTCCAAAACTTGAACCCATGACCTCCTGGTTACATGACTAACATATAACCATCCCACCAAATTTTTACAACAGAGGGACAGTGGCAGTAGCTAGATTGTAAAGAAGTAACAAAGTACACAATAGAATTACCCATGATTAATGCTGCATTTTGCAGGTGACCCTTAAAGATGTTGTGGTCCATAAGCTAGAAGGACATGCACCAAACACAACTCTTTAGTATTACAAGTACAGTATGTTAAATAACGCTGAGAAGTGACAACAACAATAATTATGCCTCAGTTGAAAAGAATGAAGATGATTTCAGATAGTAATAATTGTCAATTGAGCATCAGAACTTAAGTGTTGTATCGACATATAAATTGTGTGATTAAAAGAACTAAATGTTATATATATCAAGTACATTAAATAGGTAAGTCATGTGGCACAGAAGAATTTTGACATATATCGCGAGTACTGTGAAGACTTCATTCCCTCTAGATATCTCAGTCTAAGAAGAAAACAATCTCTAAACTGGAATAAAACCAGCAGTTGTGTCGCAAGAGCTTGGACTCTCTTGATCTGGATATAGCTTATAGTTAACCTGAAAATTACGACATGTTTAATGGTCAAAAGAACAGTTCACAATAAAATGGGATAATTGCAAGCTTCCATCCATGTGTTTTGGGGGTGGGGATTGCATATGCAATTTCTACATAGGTAAGTGATTTGACATAAATATCTTAATAGACAATACTCATGACCGCCCGCTAATTTTTCAATAGTAGCAATCGACTTTTATAAAGTCCCAATTTTTCTAAGTTGGCGGAGATAGCTTCACTCCTTCCCTAAGTGCATGTGTTCTGGGAAAAATGGAGATTCACAGAAAACTCAAGAAGCCGAACATCATTGCACTTGCCAAAATAGCAAGGCGAATATGCTAGCCATGCTTGCACATGAGAGCCTCAAATGGCAAAGCAATCCTCAAATGTCTGTTCTTTCATTTTCTATATCCATTGTAATGTTTCATTTTCAGGCTGTAGTTAAAAGATAAGTAAATTCTGCACATTTTAGTTTTCCGAGTAGCTAGAACAGTTAAGTAGATAAAACTAGACCTTCTCAATAGTCTAAACAACAACTACGTCTCAATCCCAAACAAGTTAAGGTTGGCTCTATGAAGCATCACTTCTCCATAAGTTCAGCTGATGTCATCATCAATCTGTACTGTTTTTTCCTGTGTGTAACATGGCAAAAGTTATTTATACAGAAGCCACGATTGACTTTTCAGTTCACTACGCAATCTGTAATGTGACTTTTCTTTGTTATACTTTGCACCAGCCAACATTTTTCTGCTCTTTGATACACCTTTTACCAATTAAAAATAGTAATAATAATTATAATATTAGAGGTTCTTTAACAAATAGAAATATATTAGAAGTTCTTTAACAAATAAAAATATTAAGAGTGTCACACCTAGGATTTGAAATTGTAACCTAAAGCAATTTTTGAACCCCTTTTACTACAACACTAGAATATACTCTTATTTTCAATAGCCTAAAGCCCTAAACCATCAAAAAAATTGTAAACATCATTCCTGAAATGGACTAGCTGATAACTTGACCAAAAAGCTCAAGAAGATTTGGATCCAAACTTTAGTTTGCAACCAATGTATCACATATAGCATCATCTAACAAGATCTCTATCATTTTAGGCCATTACAATTTAATATCCTCATGAACCTTTGGTGGGTGATGGAGAAGAATGGAATTCAAATTAAATATATAAATGTCCCTAAGGACATGTATGAAAGAGCCATTACTAGCGTGAAAACAGTAGGTGATATGAAGGAGTTTTCCCTACCAATGGGTTGACACCAGGGATCGGCATTGAGCCTCTAATTATTTACCCTAGTTATGGATGAGCTAACCAACACAATAGAAATTGAGGTCCCATAGTTTATGCTATATGTTGATGATTTGTGTTATTTGATGAAATTAGCGAGGGTGTCAACAAAAGCTTGAACTGTCGAGAAGCACTTTAGTCAGTATGAGAAGAGAGAAGTTAGTTAGTATGAGAAGAGACAAGTTAAGGTGCCAAAATGCATTAGGATATCTAGGCTCATTGTTTCAAGAGAATGAAATAATAGATGAAGATGTTACTCATAGGATTAAAATCGGATGGTTGAAATCAGAGGCGAATCCAGGATTTCAAGAAAATGGGTGCACCATTGCTTTAAAGATAAGATCAAAAAATTTATAATAACAATAACTAAGCGAGCAATACATAAAAATTACATTACCACAAAAAATATCATCAGTTTACAATTGTACTCGATTCTTTAGCTATTGATGATTTCCTATTATAAGTAATGACAAGGTTTTTTTATATGTAAACCCTAAAATTAAAGATATATATTTTTTTTTTGATTTGCACCGGGTGTCCGAGTCTCTTTGAGCCCCGACTAATCCCGGGGGTGCACAGGCCCTCGGCAAGGAGTTTCCCGCAAGTGCACCACGGTTAATTCAGGTTTTACCCAGTCCGATGGCCCTCAGAAATTGTTTGCACCCAGTGGGTTTCGAACTTGAGACCTTGAAAGGGAGCAAACCCCAAGGCTCAAGTCAATTGCCAGCAGGCCAACCCCTGAGGGTTAACATTAAAAAGAGAAATCATAAATTAAAATTACCTTAAACTTTGACAATGATGATTTCTCTAAATTCTTGACTTGAAGTTGGAGACTTGAGGCTTCTTCTTTGTGTGGAAAATAAAGGAAAAATCTTTTTGGCCAGAATGATATTTTATCTATGTTATTTTAACTTTTTAAATATTTTTACTCTTTTAACTTTAATACATTTTAACTAAAAAATGGAAAAAAGATCAGTTTATTTTAAAATTAAAAAAATATTATAGTTTTTTTAATATTCTGGCCAAATTCTAGCTAAATTTTCTGGCCATTTAGCACTTTCCGAAAATAAAAAATAAATTTGAAGAGAGAAGAAAGATATTGTTGGAACTTGGAAAGTGGGTGGGAAGGAAATTTTTGAAGACTTTGACTTAAGAACTTTCAAAATTTAGTTTTTTAAAAAAAAATGAAAAATGTGTTTTTAGTTAATAAAAATAAATTGAAGCGAATTGGGGCTGGCTGGGATCGAACTTGCGACCTGTTGAAATCTTGCAGTCATACCAGTGAACCATCGAGCCATCTTGAGAATGGGTTCCACAAGTTTAAATTTAATATATTCTTTAATAATTATAGAAGTAATATATCGAGTTTAGTCGGATGACCACGGGTTCCGGTGACCCAATTTTTATACATAAATTCGCCCTTGGTTGAAATAGAGAAGTGCTACCAGGTGTTATGTAATAAAAGGATGCTACCGAAGTACCAAGCAAGTCCTATGATAGGATATCTATAAGGCCAACAATGTCATATGGTAGTGAATGATGGGCTGCTAAAGTTCAACATATCCACAAGATGAATGTTACAGAGATGCGGATAAGATTAGATTTGATTACAAATGGTCACATTCTCCAAAAGGTGCAAGTGGCACCTATTGAGGATAAAATGCAAGAAGGCTGCTTGAGATGGTTTGGGCATGTTCTGCGTCAACCTACAGATGCACCAGTTCGTAGGTGTGAAACTATGGTAAGTGAAGGTATTAAAGGGGGCGGGGTAGACCTAAAATCATATGGAAGAAAGCTGTCTCGAAAGACCTACAAATGCTTGGTATTAATGTAGACTTAACTAAAGATAGGACAAAATGGAAGAAAAAGATCCATACAGGTGATAGCTACTAGTTTGAGGATAGGTTTTAGACTTGTTAAAGAACTTCTAATATTATAATTACTATTATTATTTTTAAATTATCTTTCACTTTTATTTTATTTAGCATGATGATGATACAACATGGGCTTAAGTGAAGAAATGGGAATTTTAGTAGCCGACCCAACTTGTTTGGGATTGAGGCGTAGTTGATGTTACAAGTTTAATATGCTTAAGCTCAAATCAGCAACCACCACCAAAATAAGTTGGTTGAGGAGCAAACTAAAGACATCATAGTTAAGCTTGATACAAGGCTACTCATAGTACAAAAGATCCAGATTGGGATGAAATGAAATAGAAGTTCCAACCAGTTATTCCACTCTTAGTTATAGTAAATTGTTGTGAATAACCATTCATCCTGGTCATCAGGGGCGGACCCGCCCTATGTCAAGGGGTGTCATCCGACATTGCTTCGTCGAAAGTTTTTAATATTATATACATAAAAATCTGGAAAAAAAACAAAATATCACTACAAATAATATAAATGACACCCCTTAAACGGATGTGCAGCCTTGACTTGTTGGTTTGGCATGCGGCTGGAGAGCATTAATTCTCCCAATTGGCCAAGTTCCAGGAGAGCTGTTAGTATGCTTTAAACAATTAATATAGTATTGTTATATCAATTATTCATTTATTATTCATATTGACACCGCTTACAAAACTGGTCATGCACCAAAACACACAAACACACCTCTATAATGCAGTCAACAACTTAAACACATTAACTTGTCTAACTCTTTTCTAGAAAACCTCTTCATCAAAAGAATTTTATCGGCATCAGAATTTCTTTTCCTAAATATTCACCTATTTCGCATGATCCCTTTTAGCATTGACGTACATATAGACAAGGGCGGAGCTATGTAGGGCAAGGGATTCATCTGAACACCTTCGGGGTATATAAGGCCCTTTGAATTCACAGACTGCTAAACATCCCATCATTAACGTACCACTAAACTAGAAATTTATTTATATTTTCCAAATTAACATGGGGATATTAATACAAGCCAAAGACTGTTGATATTCACAACACTAAATTTTTTAGCAAGGATATGATCTAAGCTTTGAGAACCAACTCAATTTCAGTTAAGAAGGTATCAAATTTCTCCATTCTACAATTCACTAAACAAAATCCAAATGAACAAAACACTTGGATAATAAGTATATCTTCACAAGCTTACAACACTTGCGGTCATTTAAATCCTCCAGGCTCCATGAAATGATTTTCCAATTGATGTTTTTTCGCTTTTTCTTGATTGTGTTAGGGAAGCTAGCACTTCTAGTCCTCAAATATTAACAAAATATCCGGTTTTGGTCGTCTTACTTTTTAGTCAAACAAATTTAACTTCCAACTAAGTTTGGTAGGAGGCATATACCTTCTAGAAACGCAATTCTACTATAAGTATTTTCCTGTCATGTCTATCAGAGTGTGTAGCAGTAAAGCAATAGCTCTTGTCCATATTGATCTTCTGCCTAAAAACTACTTCATATATCCTAAGCTATCTCATAATAAGCTTAAGGGAGTGTCTGTCCCAAGAAGAGAAGATGATAACATCAGAATTAATTATTGGGAACAGACAGCCTGGTAAAATAGCAAGTTTACATAAAACCCATTCTTCATATGGTTTATGATTTACTTTTTAAAAACGATCCACTTTATCAAATCAATTATACAACTAATATCTCCTACAATATTCTCTTCTTCTTTTTATAACTGTAATGTCTGGGCCAGCTTGCACGTACTCAGCTAATTTCACAGGGTACCTAATACCTCCCAGCAACATGTACCACAACATGTACCAGGTAACTCTACCCACCAATACTAGCCAGGGCGTAGCTACATTGACTCAAAGGTGGCCACTTGAACACCGTTTGCCGAAAAATTATAATGTGCATGTAGAAAATAATATTATGTAAATAGATCAAAAACAACTTATTAGAGATATACTAAAGTTTTGAATATTCCTAGCTTCACCACTGGCAGGCTAGGACAGATGCAAAAAAATCACATGCTTGAATTTGAGTATGAGACCTCGGGATTACAGCGTGAGACATCATGATGCTCAACCCACTTCATTGACCCACTAGGCCACACCCTTAGGCCTTGGGTATATGTACTACCTTAATCACAGGTTTCTATAGCAAGATTTTCAGGCAAAAATCGAAAATAAACTAACAAACAAATAAAGATTGCCCCTTTTTTCTTATCAAAAGGTTCAGGCATCGTCAATCTCCCAAATTTCGGATCCCAACATTCACATTACCACACAAACACACAAAACAAACATATTCAAGTTCAAATGCAATGTGAAAGGACAGAGTATAAAACGAAATGGGTATCAAAAGAAACAAAAAATAAGGAGAAAATTGAAAAGGGGTTGCTAAGAATCACCTGAATAGATCAAAGTCCCGCTATTTTGAATAGAATGTAGCATAGGAAACAGAAGAATACGAAGAGGAAAAGATAATCTATAAAGACAAAGAATTTGGTGGATCCGTGATTTCTATTCACCACCTTCTTTGTCTGCTTTGAATCGTCTCCGTTTAACTCCACCTTCGCCATTACTCTTCACAATCAAAGATCCACAGATCAAATAGATCTCCCTTTCTTCTTCTTTATGCCCTTTCTTTGAACACCAGTTGTTTTATCTTATTTCATACTCCCTCCCATGTAACATTTTTTAGTTTATTGAGAATTTTGATTAATTTTGAAGTTAATTAATTAGACTATATTAAATTAATATTTAAAATTTATCTGATAAATATTATAAATTGTTGTGTCAATATGATAAAAATTACATTTCAAAATATTAGATCAAAATTGATGTACAAAAATATCATATATAATCTATCTATATATAATAAGAGAAGAAAAATAGCATACGTGTCAGCGCCACAATTAATCTTGAAATTTTATTATTTTAAAAAACAAATTTAAAAGAAATATGATTTTTTTAATAAAAAAAAACACATGTTAGCAATGAAGAAATACAGATCTTTAGATTCTTTAATATTTGATTTTTAAAATATTAAAAATAATTATATTTCAAATAATTTATTTCTAATCTAACTACTTCAAATTTAAAATTTAAAATTTGAATTCAAATTTTAAAATATATCAATCGTGTGTTTGTATATGAGTAGGAATTACGTTTTAATACATTTTTTAAAAAAAACTGCCAACTCAAAAGAATTGTAAATTTGAATTCAAATTTTAAAATATATTAATCATTTGTTTGTACGTGAGTAGGAAACGTTTTAGTAAAAAAAATACAACATAAGAGTAAAATTATGGTTGGAAACTCAGAAGGTAAACAATAATTATCAATCCCACAATTTTAGCACATAACCCCCCAAAAAAGGAAATAAATCAAATATTAAAGTAATTTTTTTTTAAAAATCGAAAATTAAATATTTTATCATGTTTGTAAATTAAAAACTTAGTTTTGTAAATAAAAAAAAGTGTATATACATATATTGTTAATTAAAATCTTAAATAGTATATTCTTGTAATTTTTCCAATTTGGTTTTTATTATTAAGATAAGCATTTTAAAATTATTATGAGAAAAATTAAAAAATGAAGAAATTATTTAGTTTACTTGAAATATCTCCATTGAAATAAATAAAAAAAAGATTTCATATTTTAATTTGAGAGAGTGTTACACGCACATTCTCTTAATTAATACGTTCTTATTATTTATTTTTAACCATGGTATATTTTTGAAATGTTTGTATAAGAAATATATGTTTATAGTATTTATTTTTATCAAAAATGTTATTTGATGATCGTGCGTATGCATTTATATGATTTGTTCCTTTGCTTATATAAAATGTATGTTATTAAGTACATTTCATTGAAAATAAAAGGATAATTATGTTTTTTATAAAATCAAAACGATGTAATGCATTCAAATAATTAAATATTTTTTAATAATTTCCGCACAATGCACTGGCACGTATACTAGTTAAGATACAAGGAGCAATTTTATGTTATTTTGGTCATACCTTATTCGTCACTAGTTGATTTGATAATATTCGCAATATACATTATTTGCTATATGTGAAGGAGTTTGGAAAATGCACTAATGTGCCTTAATTCTGTTAGTTAGTTATTAGCTAATTATGTAAAGAAGTGTAATTAGTTAGTCGGTTAGTGCACAATTAGTTAGAATTGATTCTTTTTTCTTTGTATAAATGTAACAGATCTGAGTCCATAATGCGCAAGCAAGATATTTCCCCAAATCATGTAGATTACATTTTCTATGCAATTATCCCATTCCCTTTCATCACTTCTTCTTCTTTCTCCTTCTCCTTTAGTTAATTAACATGGTATCAGAGCGATTACTGCTGCAAAGCTATACGATTCATCCACATATTGTGATGATTCTAGGAGAACTGTAATTCGTTACTTCGAAAGTTTTTTTCCTGATCCATTTCAACGGCGATTCCTTCAACTGGAGTAGATTCTACTAATACAGTTACACCCATCACAATTGATCATCATCATCCTTTGTATTTGCATCCTTCTGATGCACCTAGTTCCTTGACAGTGGGAGTCACACTCACAGAATATGATAATTACACATTGTGGAGCAGGGCAATGAAGTTAGCTCTACTTGGCAAGAACAAATTGGGATTCATTGACGGATATGTCCACCGTGATTAATTTGCAGGAGATTTGGCACGACTGAGGGATCGGTGTAATGCAATTGTAGTGTCATGGATTATGAGCAATGTAAGTAAAGATCTATTATGAGGTATTATTTTCTGCTCAAACACTTTTTTGATTTGGGAAGATTTACGTGAAAGATTTGACAAAATCAATAGTTCTAGGACCTTTCAATTGCATAAGGAGATTTTCACCTCTATTCAAGGTGTTTCATCTGTTTTTGTTTACTATTCTAAACTCAAGAGCTTGTGGGATGAGTGTGATTCGATAATTCCTCCACCGTCATGCAATTGCTCTAAATCGAGAGAATTTAGTGAACATTTGCAATATCAAAGAGTGCTTCAGTTTCTGATGGGATTGAATGATCATTATAGTCAAGCTAGGAGCCAAATTTTAATGATGCCACATGTTCCTAATGCCAATCAAGTGTATGGGATGATAAATCAGGATGAGAGTCAGAGAATTGTTACAGGATCTAATAACACAATGCATGAAAATATGAGTCCAACGGTTATGTTCACCAAGAGAAACACTGGATCTACACCAAGGCAAAAAAAAAAACCTTACAATCCAAATGCATATTGTGATCATTGCCGTATGAAAGGGCATCTGAAAGTTGATTGTTTTAAGCTAATGAAGTGTGACCATTGCCACAACATTGGGCATCTTAAAATTGATTGTTATAGACTTAATGGATATTCAGCAGACTACAAGGGCAAGAAGACAGTAAATGCAGTGACAGGTCCTGTTCTAAACAATTGTTTTTCCAATATAGCAGGTCTTCATTCTTATCACCCACAACCACAGCTCGTTCCTCACTATAACCAACTACAATTCACACCACAACAACATCAAAAGTTGATTGACATGCTAAATAGTTCTCACATTGAAGATCAGGAGAGTAGTGCGGGTAGTTGGGCTAACATGGCAGGTATTCTTTCTCCTAATCATGATACTTCTGTAAGGTGGATAGTTGACACAAGAGCTTCCAATCACATGTTAGAATGTCATAACCACTTACAAAGTACATGTTTATTAGGAAATGGGAATGCAGGACAAGTCCAATTGTCAACAGGTGCTTCAGCCACAGTTTCTCACATTGGTGATTATCACTTGGGAGAAGGTGATGTACTGAAAAATGTCCTTTGTGTGCCAGCCTTCAAGTTTAATCTTATGTCAATCTCAAAAATGACAAAATAATTAAAATGTAGTGCAACTTTCTTTCCACACTATTGTGTATTTCAGGACCTCACATCTGGGAAGGTGAGGGGGACTGATAGAGAAGAGGATAGACTATACATTTTACATTCAAAATCAGGAAGCAGTGACACAAGAATAAACAAGTGTTTAGCTGCAACAACACTATCAGGAGATGATGCAGTAACATGGCATCATCGATTATGTCATGTTCCCATGAGTGTTTTAAGAAAAATACCTATGTTTTCTGGTTATAAATCTTTTGTTATGAATAATTGTGAAGTTTGCCCTCTTGCAAGGCAAACTAGACTCCCATTTCCACATAGCATTAGTAAGGCTACTTCTACTTTTCAATTGTTGCATATGGATGTTTGGGGACCATACAGAGTAGAAACACATGATGGTATGGGATACTTCTTGACTATTGTTGGTGGCTTTTCTAGATGGACATGGATTTTTTTGATGAGGCTTAAGTATGATGTTCTTACTTTGTTGAATAATTTTTTGCTTCAAGTAGCTACTCAATTTGACAGAAAAGTTAAAGTGGTAAGATCAGACAATGGGTCTGAGTTTTTTAATCATGGTTGTAAGAAGTTGTTCCTAAAGTATGGTATTGTCCATCAAAGCTCCTGCCCATATACACCACAACAAAATTGTGTAGTGGAAATGAGACATAGACACATACTAGAAACTGCAAGAGCAATCAAATTTCAAAGTGGTTTGCCTGATAGATTTTGGGGGCTGTGTGTGGAGACTGTTGTGTATGTGTTGAACAAGATGCCTTCCATTATTTTGCAAAACAAATCAACCTTTGAATTGTTATACAACAAAGTTCCCTCACTGTTTCACATGAGAGTGATAGGGTGTCTTTGCTTTGCTACTTGTCTAACTCAGAAAGATAAGTTCAAACCAAGAGCCATTAAAGTTGTATTGGTTGGGTATAGTGTTTCACAGAAAGGTTATAAATAGTATGATCTTGAAAATAGGTTGTTCTTTATCAGCAGCGATGTAACATTCATAGAGACTATATTTCCTTTCAAGGATCAAATGCCAGTTCAACAAAGTAGTGTGAAATCACATGATTTATTTTGCTATGATGAGTTGACTGCTCAGAATAACTTAGAAGTTCAGACTCAACTGCAGACTGAGAGTTCCCCTGTTTATCATGTACCAGAAGTAGCTGAAGAAATCAATGAGTCAATAACTACAACACCACCTATACTTCCCTCAAATACTGTAGTTTTGCCTACGAGACATTCCACCAGAAATTCTAAGCCACCTATATGGCATAAAGACTAGGTAACAAGAGCTGGTTCATCTAAATGTTTGTACTCAATTGCATAAAGTGTAAACTATACATGACTGTCAGCAAAGTATCAACGTTTTCTTTCAAATCTCTCAGTAGATGTGGAACCAAAGAGTTATGCAGAAGCAGTTGGTGATCTAAGGTTGGAACAAGCCATGCAAGCTAAGTTGCAGGCCTTGGAAGATAACAGTACTTGGGAACTTGTTACACTTCCAAAAGGCAAGAAACCCATATGATGTAGGTGGGTGTACAAGATTAAGTACAAGGCAGATGGAGAAATTGAAAGGTTCGAGGCAAGGTTAGTAGCCAAGGGATACAATCAGAAGGAAGGATTGGATTATCAGGAGACATTCTCTCCGGTTGTTAAAATGGCAATTGTGAGAACAGTGGTGTCACTTGTGTTGACACCCAATTTTGGACCTCCACATTATAGATTAATCATCGAGCTTCTTCAATTTCAAACGATTTAAAATAATTAGTTTTATAAAATTTCA